TTCGCAGAGGCCCGGAAACCAAAATCACAAGGCAGGGCTAGATTCAATGTACACGTGGCACCTAACCTTGATATATATGCATGATGCTATCTGCCGAGATAGCACATGCGCCATTGTTCGCTACCTGTTCCTTATGAATTATGTTCGCAGTTGCTGCTCTTGAAGGCGCAGCCCACACCCTCCCCCGGCATTTATTCCTTCGCCAGTTGAAAGACGGCTCGATCGTATCCTTCCTGCTTGCGGTGCTATAACAAAAGGCCTCAAAGGCGGCATAATTTTGTCGTATGCACCTTCCGAGTGACTGAGATTGCCGGCTCGTGACCTATTTGCTTCAGCCGTGTTCGTATGTAGTGATAGCGTGTATGCAGCGATCGCGTACATACAATGCGTGAGAAGATGTTGATTCAGGCGTTAATGATGGTGAAGGCACATGGTAGTCGAGAGTGATCATGTAGTTATCAACTCATTAAATTATGCTTACAAAATTAGGCATTATAGAAGCTAACTTATTGAAGTAGGGGTCAATGCAGACTAGATGCTGTCAGGCTCCAACGAGTACGCACATGTACTTATGAAAATTATGAGGCATGATGTACGTCACAAATGCACACACACACACACCTTTTACATGTAGCCAACATTAAACAAGAACTCGTATCCGCACTATAGAAAGCAGGAGAAATTAGAAAAATGCGACAATAAAAAACGTGCGTATTCTTTGGCTTATCGTAAACATTGTCATGAAACCAGTTCGCACACCACAATTTGCACTGAAGATTCTAGTCTTATTAAAGTAGAGTATCGGATTATTCAATATACGGGTGTATCGTTTAACTCAGAGACAAGACGACGATGAACACTTGGCTGGGCTTCGCCATGACGAAAGACCCCTGGCCGTTTATTTGCTGGGCTTAAGTAGCCGCGCTAGCAGCGGGGAAGGGGAAAAAAAGAAAAGAAAGGAACGTAAAGCGCACGAAACGGTGGAGAGGAGGAGAAGACGATATCGCCTAGGGCGAATGCTGATAGCAGATAGTCCGGTCTGTTACATCTTCTCTTCACACATTTTCAAAACACTGATTTCTTTTGCACACATTTACTTGATGGAAGGATGGCCCGTAGTGAAGGCGCTTCGGTTCGCTGCGCTGGCGTCCTGACCTGCGCAGGCCAGCCAGTGGGCTTCCTGGAGTGTCTGGAGAAATGGTGGCGCTATAATCGTCCTCTGGCTGAGCTGGTTGCACCTGGTGACACCCCAGTGGGTTGTCCGGCGTGATGTTGCCGCGGTGTCCATCACTGAACTTCGTCGGGGGCCTCGCGTCGGGGTTCGGATTACCCTCGGGGCTGACCTTGTCGTTTAAGTTTTCGTCCGTTCGCAGCAAGTGTTGTCGGTTCCGTCTCAGGAGCCCATGGTCTTCCGTTCTTACCACGTATGATCGTGGTGCAGTCTCTCGTACCACTTTCGCTCGGCGTGACCAGCTTCCATGTTTGATCCGGACCACATTTCCGGCTTCCAAGGGTGGTAGTGGCCTGCCTCGGGAAGACTGTCGCTGTTTCCATACGGGTATGCCTCCGTCGACGTTGTATTCTGGAAGAGTGGCGTGCAGGTGACGACCTTGCAGTAGTTCTCCGGGTGAGTGACCGCTGTCAAGGGGAGAAGATCGATAAGCCAACAGACCAAGCCATACATCACCCCGGGACTCGTGGGTTTTCTTTAGAATACGCTTTACGATCTGTACCCCCTTTTCAGCTAAGCCATTTGATCGTGGGAACTCTGGACTTGAGGTGATATGCTCGAAGTCATATCGGCGCACGAAGGACGCGAACTCTCGCGATGCAAATTGAGGGCCGTTGTCGGTGCAAACTTGGTTGGGAATGCCGTATCGCGAGAAGATAGCAGATATCTTGTCGATTACTTCCGCCGCCATGGTACCTCCGAGTTTTTCGACGTCAGGAAAGTTAGAATGGGCATCAAACACAACTACGTAGTGTTCTCCAGCGAATGTAAATAGGTCTATGCCTACGCGATGCCACGGTCTGTCGGGCGTTGGCTGTAGCAGGAGAGGTTCACTCGGTTGACTGTATGCGTACTTTCGACAGACGCTGCACGTTCGCGCTCGTCGCTCAATGTCACTGCTCATTCCCGGCCAGAAAACCAGTCTACGGGCTCTAGCTTTGCACTTGTTCATACCTAAGTGGCCTTCGTAAATTCGCTCCAGAATTTCCGCACGCATTGATTTAGGCACCACAACTTCGCAACCCTTTAGCACCACTCCATTGACCACGGATAGCTCTTCCGCATACGGTTTCAGTACACCGTCTATTGCCATGCCATCTTCCATTTGTTTCATGGTGCGGCTGAGAAGCGGATCTTCGCGGGTTTCCTTCTGCAGCCGCAACATAGTCGCTTTGCTTATGATGCTGGTGACTACTTGCGTTGTGTGGACGTCCACGTCCTCGACTTGGTCGCCTCCGCCAGTTGGTAGTGCAGCCCGAGACAGCAGGTCTGCGAGTAACAGGTCCCTACCAGGTACAAACTGCAACAAAAAATCATATTTCATAAGACGGATGAAAAACCGCTGTATCCTGGGTGGCATATCTGCAATGTTCTTTTCGGCAATCGCAAGTAATGGCCTGTGATCAGTTTCTATCGTAATGCTTCGTCCATACACAAACTGATGAAATTTTTCACAAGCGAAAACAATTGCCAGTGTTTCCTTTTCTATCTGGGCGTATCGCTCTTCACTCGGCGTCAGCGCTCTTGAGGCGTAGGTCACTGGGCGCCAGTCATCCCCGTGTCTTTGCAATAAGGCAGCGCCAATACCTGTTCCTGAGGCGTCCGCAGTTATCTTAGTGTCTCTTTTTTCATCAAAAAGAGCCAGCAATGGAGGATTAGCAAGCGCTGTGCAGATCTGGTCCCATTCGCGCTCATGGGCTGTTGTCCACTCAAACACCGATGCTTCTTTCACCAGGCTACGCAGCAACGCCGTTTTATCACTCAAAGCTGGCAGGTATTTCCGAAAGTAGTTCACAACCCCGAGTAATCTGCGCACACCCTGTTTATCTTTTGGGGCTGGCATGGCACGGACGCTTTCGATTAGATCGGGGTCCGGACGAATTCCGTCTCTTCCGATAACGTCGCCAAGGAATGCAACCTGCGTGGTGCCGAACACGCATTTAGCTGGATTAAATGTCAGCCCTTCCTCTTGCGCCCGCCTTAGTACTGCGATGACGCGTTCGTCGTGTTCTTCCTTCGAGTCACCCCATATTAAAACGTCATCTACGTAGACGCGCACTCCCGGCAGCCCTTCGAACATTTCTGTTAGAGTCTTCTGGAACACCTCGCTGGCCGAGAAAATTCCGAAAGGCAGACGCAAAAAACGGTACCACCCAAATGGTGTCGCAAAAGTGCATATTCGTGAAGTGGCCTCATCTAAAGGAATCTGGTGAAAGCCGGCATTAGCGTCGAGCCGTGAGAAATATTGTGCTCCTGCCAGCTCGCTCTCTATGTCCTCTCTTGAAGGGATAGGATAGTGCTCCCGCTTAATGCTCCTGTTCACTGCTCTAGGGTCCATGCAAATGCGAAGGGTACCATCCTTCTTGTGCACAACTACCAGGGGGCTCACCCATTCAGTTGGTTCATCCACCTTGACGATGATTGAGGCCTTTTCCATTCGTTGCAGTTCTTGTCGCAGGCGTCCTTTCAACGCTATGGGTACTCTGCGGGCAGGCTGCACGACTGGAACGGCATCCTCTCGTAGCACCATTTTGTAGGGTCGCCTGACGCAGCCAGTGCCGCTGAAGAGGTCAGGAAATGCAAGCTGGAATTTCGTTTGCCCATCGCCTACCTTCACGGCGTCCATCGTCACCGGTACCAGACCAAACTGCTGGCATGTCTTTAAGCCAAGGATGGCTTGGCGCCCCTTTTTCACGATAAAGAACGAGACTGAATGTTGTGCTTCGTTTATCTCGAGATCTTCGGTCGCCACGCCAACGTGTTTGATTGTACTGCCGTTGTAGGCGGAGAGGACAGCGGCGCTCTTTCGCGGAGTGCTTGCGTGGGCGATTCGGTTGAACAGGGTTAGGGGTAGCAAATTTGCCTGAGACCCGGTATCTACCTTGAATTGTATCTCCTGACCGGCTATTTTTCCGCGAACCATCCAATCCGCTCCTATATCTCCGGTGACGCCGCAAATGCTGATGCCCAAGATGTCAAAATTTTCATCGCTTTCTTCGGCTTTGTGAACCTCGCTTATCCTGCGCGCATTGTTGCAGCATGCGGCGAAGTGGTTTCGTTTCTTGCATGCATAACAAGTTTTTCCATACGCCGGGCACCGCTCGGGGGCATGTACCTTGTTACAATTTCGACACCGAGTTCCATTCGCAAACTTCGTGCGGTGTGTGCGGCGTGTAACGTCAACGTGCAGGCTTTCATTTGACCACGCTGCGCTCTGAAAGGCAGCAACCTCAGCAGCTTTGCAAATTTCTTCTGCTTTCTGCAAGTTTAAGTCTTTGTCGCTCAGCAACTTTGCTCGAAGTTTCGCATTATTTGTCCCAAACACCACTTGATCCCTGATCATGGACTCTTCAAGCGTACCGAAGTTGCACAGCTTTGCTTGCTTTTTTAAGTCCCGTAGGAACCGCTCAAAGGGCTCGGCCTCTTCCTGCTTTCGCAGTCGAAAAATGTGCCTTTCGTAGACTTCATTACCCTGGTCGACACAATATTCTTCAAATTTCCGCACTAACGTGTCATAATCTTCTTTGCTCTCACCTGCCGCAAACGAGAAGTTGTTGTAGACCTCGAGCGCCTCGTCCCCCGCGGTGCTCAGAAGAATCGCTGCTTTTACGGCCGATGGGCGGGGCTTCTCCGGTTCCGTAGCGGTGATGAACAGCTGCAGCTTCTGCTTGAATACCAGCCAGTTTTTCCTGATGTTGCCGGACAGTTGCAGCGGTTCCGGGGGCTTGACGAGGTCCATTTCGAACGTCAGTATACCACTTCTGTCACCATGTATCGTTTAACTCAGAGACAAGACGACGATGAACACTTGGCTGGGCCTCGCCATGACGAAAGACCCCTGGCCGTTTATTTGCTGGGCTTAAGTAGCCGCGCTAGCAGCGGGGAAGGGGAAAAAAAAGAAAAGAAAGGAACGTAAAGCGCACGAAACGGTGGAGAGGAGGAGAAGACGATATCGCCTAGGGCGAATGCTGATAGCAGATAGTCCGGTCTGTTACAACGGGAATAATTCCCGTTTTTTAGACTGAGATTAGCAGGTTCACGTGTATAACACTGCCGTACAATTTTGTTTTTTAGGCCACCTAACAGAACCACCAAAAGCCTGCTGGAAAAAACCGTTTGTTGGCGTCTGCCATCCATTAAAGGAAGCTTGGTATTATGAACCGAAAGATAACACTTGCAAAATGCTCGCTACTGGCTCGTGTGCTGGTGGCAACAACCTATTCCCTACATTAAAACGCTGTAATAAGGAATGTATACGTGAGTATATTTCCAACTGCAATTTTATAAAGGTTTTACAAACTAATTGCTGTTTACTATTGAGATTTTTTGTAAACATCAATAACTTACTCCATGAATTTTTAAACCAATAATGGAATTTATATGAAGAGAAGGCGCTGTCTAGAAAAACCTGTGCTAGAATGACGTGTATCACAATAGATATGGGGACCTATACCTTTCGGAAAGGCGCATCGCCTTCCTCATCATGCTAGTTTTAAGCGAATAGTAATTGATCGCACAGGATACAATGGTAAACGCATGCTACCCGCGAACGAAGAAACAGGAGAGCACATGAGTAGTGAATCTCGGGGACCACTGGTAAAGCGATAGGAAGAACTGTTTTGTTTATATGGCGATTTGCTACACGGGTCGTAATTACCAAGTTGCGATTATAAGATCGTAAAAACCACTGAGCATGTCTAACCAAAAGCCACGTCTACGTATAGGCATGTGCCCATGTATATGTGTGTTCTTGAGGTTGTTTCGAAACTGGCCATTAGCAGGCCGAAATAAAGGATTTGAAAAGCATGTCTCGACGCTGAAGATACAAGAAAAAACTTTACATAAATGAAATAGGCAGGAGGTTGCCAGCTGGAGAAACCCCGTGACCCTGACAGCGCAAACAAAGTACGAGTGATGCATAAAGCTTTTTTTTAAGATTTTGAAGGGTGCACAGCTTAACAAGCCCATACTGGAAGCGAACGGAACTCTTTGCGTCACTCCCCGCAAAGAACATGCTCGGACGGCCGTCGCCACCGGTTCGGTGTGGCGCACACCCCACCTTGGTGGACAGTCCTACAGCTCCGCAATCACGCGCATCGTGATCACGTGCTTGCCTTGAAAACGAAGGTGTTTTTATGCCAGGGTTCACCCAGGCTCCACTAAGGCGTTTTGGTAAAAAAAGCGACATTATAAAATAAACACTAACATATGACAAAGAAAAAAAGCATGAAAAGGTTCGTCACTACTGAGTCAAACTTACGACCCCTGCTTCGTATGGGGTGGTGTGAATAGGCTCATTTACGGAGCTTACGTTTTCCAGCCTACTAAAGACGAGCTATTTACAATTTACTCTTGCCTGCTCTCAATACCACTAGTGGGGTGGCATGAAGGGCACGAAGGCGGTCCTTTAAAGGTTGTCACATGCGTTCGGATGTGCACGCGCCTCTACAGTGTGTGGTCACTCATGCGTGTTCGCTTATCGCATGATGAGGATGGTTTGTATGTCTTGTGCTCGTATCACAAGCTGGTGTTGTAATTACAGAGAACCAGAATGTCAATCAGCGCACTACACTGACCACGTTAATGAAAGGAGCTCGCTGCTCACACACGAAGAAGTAACAATTATGGCAGATTTAGGGATGGTCTTGTGGATACCTGTGCGTTCGTTTTCGTGGGTCCTTCTTTAGCGATGACAGTTAGTCCACACTCGTCCTGTATATGTTTAATTCAGGGGTTCTTTCTGTTTGGAGACCATGCTGCAAGTCTGCAGCTGCTTGCCGTTCTCTACGTGACATCCATATTCATTGCTCTAGCATTTATTGCTTCGCCCTTGTGGCGAACTTAATGAACAACAAACTCTGGACTACCTCTGTTAAAATAGGTCTCACTTTTTTTGTTGTACCAAATCTTACGACAGAAAGATCATCCATGTTTTCTGATTTTTTTTTCACTCACATGACCACCTTAAAAATATAATTGGCGAAACAGGCGTGCCTCTCACACACTCACAATCAACTTTTTCTTTTTTTCACACAATGCCACAAGAACAAAGTGGGGGGTAGTGGATTAACTACATGCACTCGCGGTGCGCTTCAATATTTCGAACGGTATTTTTTGGCTGCTACAGAATAGAAAACTTAATAGTTAAGGTTCTCACTTTCAAAAAGAAGTCAACATCCACTTCGATTATGTAAAAGTAGATCTCACAGCAATGATGATGTTAACTATTGCTATAACCACTTGAATAGCTTAATCATTTTAATGTTCGGTAAAGACAATTCATATGTGTACGTTTTTTTTCACCTTGATGGGTTCCTTGACCACGCGAATGCAATGTGAATCTAAGAACCAAGGAAAATATTTCCTGAACTAAGTGTTATATTACGACTTCGTACGGCGTGTCATATAGCTACACCGCTCCTGTGCTTAAGGTGATCAAAGTAACATCCGAGAGTGAAGCTGACAATGACAAGAGCTTAGAAGACGATGATACTCACGGATTTCAGCAAGCCAAGCATCGCCCTTTTAACCAAAATATTCGACCCACAAACTATGCATATCTACTCTCGCTTCTCTCTTCCATTCAACTTTTATTTCATTACCCTGTATGATTATTTAGCACTTTTTCACGTCTTGAACTGTCATGAGTACACAATGTGATGGTTCTATAGAAAAGTTTGTCACGCCAATTTTTAGTTGCTATAACTTGATGCCGTTGAATATATCTGTGCCAGCGGCTCAGCGCTGTTGAAAGAAATTATGGGAGACTCTTGCCAAGCTAAACTAATATAAAGAGGATCATACAGTCTTTGGCACGCTGCTGTAAAACATATGTTCAGAATGCCTCAACACTATGCATCTGTTAATAACATATGCAGCACAGCAATCACCCACCCGTCAATCCAGGAAGAGATTTCGCCAGGAGTACTGTACTACCACAGTAACTGATAATAGTATAGCCTTGATAACAATAACAAGGACCACAACTAGAGAACAAAAATTGAATTTTAGTTGACCAAGATATTTGTAGCTTGCCATGTTCACAAATAAAATTTGAAACTTTGCAGCACTGACTCCGAAAAATTCAGGTGTATGCCTTCAACGACCCATCATTGGCAGCTGTGGTCCTTTACTTGTGTCCTGGTTTTATGATGAGTCAAACAAGTTCTGCAGAATGTTCAACCATACTATTTGCGGTGGAGGCGGCAACGCGTTCCTAACGGAACTGAAGTGCCTGTCAACTTGTCGACGTGAGTACGAATCCTGGTGAAGGCACTTTAAAAAGAGTGCGCACAGCTTTGTTTTTATTTGAGTGTCCAAGAATGGGAAAAGGATAGCTATGGCACATTTGTTTGTTAGCCTCTGTTGTTGACCACCTAAACCTATTTTACTCACTCACCCTCATCAGCAAAAGAAACTACAGAGAGCATGTATTCAATACCCTGCAAATGTGCTCAGTAGCTTGCATATTTTTGTAAATAAATAAATTTGTAAATAATAAACGAATACACAAACCAATAAATAAATATATATTAAACCTTACGTGGACACGGAAGGTATGTGTTATTTAACGCGATTTAACTTCTACTTATAGCTTCGCAAGATAACAAAGTTTGCCCGTACGCAGTTCAATGGGTTTCATGCGCGTAATGTCACGTTCTCTATTATTGTTCCTGCAAGCACTATTCAGATAAGGTAGGGCCACAACATGTCTAGCACCATATTTCTTGGAATTCAGGGCTGTTAGCGTGAATATATGTAACTCGTGATTGTTAACGTAACGATACGTGTAACAATGATACAGCCTAACCATCACATTGCCTTAAAACAGCAGCCGAGTTTATACACTCAGTTACTTCAGAGTAAATACAGCCAAGCTGTACCCCACCCACTCAGATCGCAGTAACACCTAGTAACACAAATCACAGTAACACCTACTTAGTGAATATCTGCATATCTATTTTCACGATGAATTGCACACCATTGTAAAAGAACTCACATTGAAAGGTTACATTGTTATTTGTTCTTTTGAATTAATGGAAGAGTTCACGTTGTCCGATTTTTCAGCCTCTCATGTTACAAATGGAGCGTGTTCGCTGCTTGTTAATAGACGTTAAGATGCATGCTAAGGTACAGAATCTCAGAGAATACAAGTGAGTATGTTAGTTTAGTTTTATTATGCGTTTTAGAGTTTATCTACAACCTGCCCTTTCTTGTCTTAAGTGGCGTAGTCGTCGCCGTCAGTGGCGTAAGTGAGAGATATGAAAAAGTAGCCGATTGACACAAAAATTGAAATAAGAAACGGATACGCATGATCAGTTGGCATTTGAACACGAACCTTCAACGTGTCAGTCTAGTATTCTACCCAAGAGCGGTGCTGTTGCTTCAAACTTTCATTTGCAAAAAGGCCCTATACATGCGTCATGTGCGGCAACAAACCGCGCCAACCTATGTAATACAGTGTGACGAAATAGTGAAATAAGAACTAGTAGAAAATGATAATAGCGCCATCAGTGTGTGCCTTAATGCATTTTACCCACTGCAAAGGCAAAGCTCGGCCGTAAATTTTCATCCTCATCAGCCATATGCACTATCAACAAAATGCACACAACACCTCGCAGGTACCTGGCTTATCCCCAGAAAGACGAATAATGGTGCAGTGGGTGCTGTGCTACTTCAAAAAAAAAAAAAAATATGGTTTTCGGCGTAGCTGATACCTTGTAAAAATTCAATACATCAAGCACAGTTAGCCTTGCCGCAACCCGAATCTGCACTCAGAATTTGCATGAGGCAGTATTGTATTGACCGGTGAAATTTTTTTATATAATCTTCACTCGAGACGCATGGCTTATAGCTAAGAGAGGGGTACTCAGGAAGCCAATTCTAAGGTTCCTATAATAAATGAACTCGACAATGTATTTATGTCTTGTCGGTAATAAGGATCACCGTTTTTAATGTCCAAACTATGTCACCGTTAGTATGCGTGAACGTCTGCGACATTCCTTTCTTTTACTGCTATAAAAATAAGGTTGCGCAACGTATAGACAGGAACACAAAAAGGGTCCTATGAACACAATATTTGAACTTGGAAGTTAGAGCTTGTCCAGGTTTTTTTGTTTGTCTTTGTGTAGTTTGAGCAAAACCATTTTCTCTTGCAGGCGTCCACTAACTCACCCTGTATAATGTTTTATCCTATTTAATTCCTTGGTTACTACACTGAAATTCGTAGCCCAAGAATTTTCTTTTATAACTTTGGCATAATGCTTATGCTTTTGTCGCTCACAGATTGGAATAACTTTATTGTGCTGCTTGCTCGACTGCCTATATTATATTAGGTTTATTTCAGGTCAACCCGGGAAAACTAATTTCGATTAAGAATTTTGATTATATGGTAATCTTTCTAAATATCTTACAGCAACGAAAAAGCCAAAAGCAGTTTGTAGCTTGACGCCAAAGCCCGGAAGATGCTTTTTGGGAAAGCGAAGGTGGTACTTCGACGAAAAAAGTAATAGATGTGAACTCTTTCTTAAGAAACGCTGCGGAAGTAATGACAACGCTTTCTCCTCACAAAAGAAGTGCATGGAAAGATGTACCTGTAAGTACTGTTTCTTTTTAATGTGATAGCAATTATAAAGACACCTTTCACAAAACTTTGACGTCACCATCATGTCCCGTGTATGTATATGTATAAATATATAAATGAAAGCCACAAATAAAATAACAAAAAAACGCGAAGTGTGCCAGAGAGATTTGAACCTGTGACCCTCGTTCCAAAGAGTGGTGCGTTAGAAAACTCTGCCACATGCGACTCGCACTTTGGCACTCAAACGACGAGTGATGCGCGTACGCTATTTGCCGTTCTACGCAGACATCGAATGCGCCTCGGTGTGTTCAGTACCACCCTCGAGATGGTGCGAAGAATGTGCGTTGAAGTAACGTCGTTACCTTTTTAAACGCGATTGTGTTTCTTGCGGACCTACGAAAAAACAAATTTTTGGTCTTTCTGTCTGTCTGTACAATTGTCTGTTTGTCCGCCTTTATTGATACCTCAAACGGCACCAACCGTTTCACTAAACAGCTGATCCCATCCGCAGCGCCCACGAATATTGCTGAAGCTTTAGCGTTCATAATTGTGCGATTATCAATTAAAAAGCAATTATTGCGCAATTTTGAGGCACCATACCAGCATGTCAACATTCTGTATGTGTGCCGTTTTGCTAAAAAATGCATGCATAAGTAATCCTTAGAACCATAGCGTTCATCACGCTGCACTGAAAATGCAATGCTTGCACGAAAAGGCAAGTGTTTCAAACATTTTGCTAAGACGGCATGGTAGTGGCACCTACCATCGCCTTGCGTTCTACCTCTTATCGCCTCGGAGATGGGTGCGCGCGGCGTACGCTTTGTTTTTCAAGATAACTGCCAGATAACGCTCATGTCTCACGTGTGACGTGACTTGATGTGCTCGTTCACCTCCGCTGCACGCTCGAGGCACTCTAACGCAGCGCCTCCAGAATGCAATTCACCAACTTTTTTTGTGCAGAACATCACATAAACGTTTTGTTCACTCTCTCCAGACTTAAGACTATCGCCTATCGACGACATTTGTTGTGTAACATGCAGATCCGGCGCCAATTTTTGTTTCAAGTGCTCCTTATACACGCACAAAAAACCCTCCACGACAATAAAGAACGCCGGCCAAATCACGCTTCGAAAGTTGCTGCGCCGCAGGATGCGGGGATCGGATACTCCACGTGGCATAGTGTTCCATGAAGAAGCGCTGGCAGAGTCGACATTTGTAGAGTGCTGATCAAACGCAAAAGAGTAAGAGCGCTGAGAGTTCACAATCATGATGTGCATTCATATACATTTGCGTTGTTTCAAGCGTCCTTCTTTCTACCTTAGCAGCGTGGTGCTAGTTTGGAGCCGTGGCGGGTAATAATTAAGGCTCGTCGGGTGTGTTCTCTTTTCACATAGTTAGCGCTGAAGTGGCGCGCTATATCTGGAGCACGTTTTTTCAGATATACTGTAGGAGTGTACAAGCACTTCAAGCATACTAGCAATTCGCAGAGTCAGTCAGGTCACTAATAAACATGACTTAGGCAGTGGAACAACCAGATTAACATGCTTCATTTAGGATGTTAAAAAAATGAAATTTCCGCACCTTTTTACCAGAGTTACTTCGTAGTCGGTTAATAAAAACGAAACCTGCGAGATGACACGCAACGTTAACGTTGTAATGTCTGTCATGTATACAATTGTTTGACAACTTTTTATGAAATGGTCGAAATTGTATTCTCAACCATGAAGTCATAGCTGCCTGTAATGCACAGTGATATACAAAAAAGGAGTAAAATTGTTGAAAGATGCTCAATCTTGGCACGTGAGCTTGGGACAACTACTCCTTTCACACTTTTCATTGCGTCACGTTCCCATAACGTACTGTGTCGAACGTAAGCTCACTCACTAAACGAAAACAATGGCAATAACGTGCTATTTCTTAACATTTCAAGAGAAGCTGCAGACAGGGAAGAATAAAATCTGACAGATTGGAGAACTATGACGCACATTTTAGTACAACTGCTAATACGAACGACTAAGTTTCACTGTGGTTTCAATAAACATGACGTACACATCAGCATTCATTTGCGACAATAAAGAAATAAGGTTGATACACACAATTTTTCTTTAATAATGTTTGTTACATTTCTTCTCTTAGATATGAAAGCAGCTTCAACCTGCGTAGACTGCAAGCAAACAATAACAAATGAGCTGCCATCCGTCAAGCAATCCAGCCTCCCCGGCCAAAACGTCAATTCTGTTCCTACCTATAGGCCTCACAATCTTTCCTAAGCACGCGCCTTTCTGCTTCATGGGAAATGCTTACCTTGGCTGGTATTTGGACACCATGGCCTATGACAACAGGACAAAGTAGACCTCACAATACTTTCCGTCCTATCGTGTTTTGTGCCTTCGAATTATAAAAGAGTTTGTGAAAAGTTTGTTGCACAAATGTTGGAAGGATAAAGTTAGTTATACAAGCTCCGGTATTTTTTATCTGAATGATAACTTAAAATTTGTGTGGATACAATAGATTAGAGTGTATATAGATAAACCAAAGAAGCTTATTGCAATGTATTGTTTATCTGATTGGGAAAATAATCTTACAAAGCTCGCTACACACATGTATCTCAACTGCGGTAACAAGCAGGCACTCGATAAAGCACATCAACAGGTGGTGGACATGTTTAACACCTAATTTTACTATCCCTAACAAGATGTGACGCGCACCGTGGAAATTCTACATGCTTACCAGAAGCATTAGCGTCATCCACTGTTTAGTAAACGAAACAGCGGGAGCTCTACGACGGAGAATCACTGTGTGACCATGCGACGCACCCTGTCAGATTTCAGTGTATACTATAGCGGAGTGGCATTTCATTTCTGGTGTAAGTTTATTGTGCACAGACACATTTATTAAACTTTAGGTCAACAATGAAATCAACAAATGCTAATATTGAAGCCCTACGTTGTCTCACAACACGCTCACTCAATTTAACAATAAAAGGACCATTATCCTCATGTGCGGGTCTGCATGTGAAAGCCTCAGTGGCCTCTTACTTGTGTGCGTGTGAGCGGGGTAGGATGAAAGCACAGTTGAAAACCAGCAATTGAGTGTGTCTGTTATTTTTGCTTGCCCACGTCTTCACAAGTATATGCGCTGAACGCTACCAATGCAGCTAAATAGCGAAGCTAAAATATAAGCATTGCTATCGTTGCAAGTTCTTCATTTTTTCGAGACATTTTGAAGTACAAGCATTACAATACTAGAATGGCACACAGATTTCTAGAGTTTCATGCCGGTTCCAGTCCTAGTTAACAGTCTTTGCATTCAATGGGGATATTGCTCAATGGCAACGCCTATTTTTCGCTGATGGACTAATACCCCAACGCTAAAACCGCATTTTACGACAGGCTCTTTAAATGTATCACGTTAAAGAAGAAAGTTATCATCTTAGATGAAACATATATGGTAACCTAACGTAGTAATCACACCTATAAAGTAATAAATAAGGGAGCATGCTACATACAGCTCGAAGTGTTAATTATGTTTTTTACACACCCCAAAAAACCGGAAGCTCTCTTTTATGAACTATTTGCTTTATGCGGGGCTTGGTATGTCCATGAAGATAAGCTGTACACGAATTTCAATACAACAAACAACGCAACTGTTTCAACTACAACCCTATTTCTTCTTTAATAAAGCACTTTTGTTTTAAAGCACATTTGAAGTGGTTAGAAAGCTGTTAAACACTGAGCCCTCTTTGCTTGAACTTTCATGTGCCGCATTCAAATCTACTTGTTTTATTTAGTAACGTTGGCATACTACATTAGTATCAGAATAAAACAGCTGTGCCATGGTGCAGCTGTACCAGCGTCATACAGGGCTTTAAATACTTGAAAGGTGACTCAAAAAGTGCGGGTACTATCGTGACGCAAAGGTATGCCGTTTTCAATGAACTGCTGAAATCTAAAAGCCCGTGTGCTTTGGTTCAAATACTTATTGAAGGTGGTCAGAATAAACACCACCCGACACTAATGATGATGATAGGCGAGTTTTTATGGTTCAAGGACCATGTTTAGCCAAAGAGCGCCGTGAACAATGATGAGAGAAGAGTTAAGGTACGTTATTTAGGTGATATAAATCTGATATGAATATTGATACTGTTGATTCAAAGGGGCCTAAAATGTAGCGAGGACTTACGTCGGGTGAACCATAACTTTCTTGCAGTTGGCTAAGGGCTATATAAAGAGAAGCGTCACGTAACATGTCACGTGATTACGGTGTTATCTGAGGACTGCACATCCAGCCGAGTTACATCTTCCTTTTATTTGGAGCGCAAATTAATTATGCCTTTCAGGCTATGGGTATCGACAGGGCTGGTGGCGAGCTCTCGTGCTTCGGCAAAGCTCTTGAGGAGAGTCGTCTTCTCAGGGGCTTTCGCCGCTTGGGGTTGTCCGGTCCCGCAGGTGTTCTCTTGTGCGCCTGAATTCTTGACCATCTTCTGTTCTCAGCATCGCTGATTGGAGCGTGCTGGCTGGCCTCAGAAAAACGGCCGGCGACCACGTTCGCTGAAGGGTGTCGTATGCGGCTATTGGCTAGCCTGGAGACAGAGCCGGCAGATCCATCGTTCTGCGGTTTTGTTATAGACTTTCTGGAGTTGACGGATCTCTTGGAGCCTGTTGTGAACAGCTGGACTAGGAACTGCTTCTGGTTTCATGTGGCTGTTGAACACAGGTAGCAGGGCCCTGGTTTGCTGTCCCATGAGTCTCTGCACAGGGGACTTTAGCACATCATCTCGGGGGTATTGTGCCGTTCTAGCAACGCCATATAAAAGTTAACCCGGTTGCGCGAACGTTTGTTTAGAAGCTTTTCAGCTTCCTGTACGGCTCTTTCCGCCTTACCATTAGCGCGGGGCTGATGAGGGCTTGTCGTAATATGGGTAACGCCTAGTTGTCGCAAGAAGTCTGAAAAGCTGGCTGATTAATTGCGGGCCATGATAACTGCAAAGCTGCGACGGTAAGCCATGTGTGGTGAACAATTCTGTGCACCATAGTGTCAGAGCGCTAGCAGTGCTCTGCCGGAGTTCACAGATTTCAAAAAAAGAATTCCACTAATATAGAAAATTCACGGCCTTCTTAGAGAAACAGGTTCATGCCAACAAATTTCCAGGGCAGCTTTCGGATGTCGTGGCTGTGAAGAGGCATTTTGGAGTTCCGCGGTTGATACTTCTGACAGACCTTGAAGTTTTTGCTAAATTCCTCTATTTCACATTACATATTTGGCCAGTACATTGTGTCTCTTGCCCGCGCCTTCATCTTTTCAACTCCCGGGTGCGCAGCGTGAAGCAGCAACATAATTTCTTTCTGTGGAGTTGGTATAATCACCTTGTTGCTGCTAAAAACAAGACCATCCTGTGTGTGCAGCTCCTCCTTGTGGGACCAGTACTGAAGAACACTTTCGGGCACCTCCCTCTTTTCAGGCCAGCTTGTTTCGGCATAACCTGGAAGTTTGACCAGGGCAGGATCTTCATTCGTTACAGCGTGAAAATCCCTCAGGCACTGCTAAGATGAAATGTATTCAAGCGCATTCACTTGAAATTGGTCAGTTTTTTCATGCATGCGCTGTTTGCTGGGAAACCTAGATAAGGCATCAGCTAGGAAGAGCTCTTTTCCTGGCTTGTAGATCAATGTAATGCGATTTTGTTGCAAAGTCAAACGCATGCGCTGCAAGCGAAGCGGACATTTATAAAGCGGTTTGCTGAATATCGGCACCAAGGGGTGGTAATCGGTCTCAACGATCACAGTTTTTTGGCCGAAGATGTATTCATGAAACTTAACGCACCCATGTACAATCGCCAATGTTTTCTTTTCGATTTGAGGGTAGTGTTGCTGCACCTCTGTTAGTGAACTTGACGAGAATGTGACAGGACAGCTGTCTTGAATAAGCAAGGCGCCAACTCCCATTTGGCTGGCATCAACCGAGAGGTTTACTGGCTTGTTTGCGTCGAATAAAGCAAGAAATTGTGCATTTGCTAAGCTTTCACGCAACATTTCATAACTTTGCTGCTGAGAGTCAGTCCAAACCCATGCAATGTCTTTGCGCAGCAATGTTTTAGTGGGGCTGTCACGTCGGACATGTTAGGAGTGAAACGCTGTACATATTTCATCATGCCTAAAATGACTTGGAGTTCCTAACAATTCTTTGGCTTTTTCACTTCCAGTATGTCTTTCTCTCGACCTGGGTCTAGGCGGAGGCCTCCAGTGCTAAGAAGGTGATGATACAACATTTTTTTTATTTATGAAAAAAAAAACGAGGGGAGAATGTCAAAGGTGGTTTCCCCAATTCCAGGAAACCAGTAGCTGCTGCAGCTCGACCGGCTTGATCCAGGAGACCCCTTTGGGTTTTGAAGTCAGGTCAGGCGAGGAAGGCTTCCCAAAGCTCTCCCAGTAGCGTGAGTATCAGTGTGCTATGAATGTGCCCGAGGTAGTGGACTTCAGGCTACAAAAAGGTGCTTTTTTTAGGTTAAGCTTGAGGTTGTTCTCACGACAGCGTAACAACAAAAGTGACAGGTTGTGGTCGTGCTCCTCTTTTGTGTGGCCCCAAAGCAATATGTCATCTATTACCACGGCTATGCACGGCAAGCCTTCCAGGGTACGATGCATAGCTGCTTGAAATGTTTCTGGGGCTGACGTGATGCCGAAAGGCATTCGAAGAAACCGATAAAGCCCATACGGCGTGCTCATTGTACAGAATGTTGAGCTCGATTCGGTTAGCTTAAATCGCCAGAACACTGATGCCGCGTCAAGCGTTGAGAAGTACTTGGCACTGGATAGTTGCGAGGCTGCATCTTCTAAGGTTGGCATTGGGTTAGGCTCCCGCAGTAGCACTACGTTAAGCGCTGTAGGATCAAGGCCTTCTTAACAACTGTTACCACATGGCTAGACCACTCGGTTGGCTTGGTTATCTTTGCGATGACGCCCTGGGCTTCCATGCGCTGCAACTCAGCCTTGACCTTGTTCTGAAGAGCCACGGGAACTCTTCTCGCCGGAACGACGACTCCCACTGTGTCTGGCTTGAGCTTCCTGTCATACTCGAAGTCTTTTAGCAGCCCGAGTCCTTCGACGACGTCTGCGAATATTGGACTAGCGGGTACAGTTCATGCTGTATGTATCGCATACGGTAGATGAAGCCAAGAATTTCAGCTGCTGCAACACCCAAAGCGGCAGGGACGTCTTGTTCGACAATAAAACACGTTTGTTATTTGGTTATGTCATTCGCTGAAAGCATCAACTGAACTTGCGCATG